AGGCTTAGCACTTTTTCCTTTTCTGAAAAACAAATCTGTATTTATAAAATACTTCAGTGGCGATATATCCAAACAAGTATTAGCAAAACTGTTATTTATTATTTATAGTCATCGCTCTTGGCCATTATTCGTTGACTAATCATTCCCCAATCTCTCTCGAGCATATTTCCTCGATTGTGCGCGTTGGCAAGAAAATATAGGTAGGCAACGTCAAACGTCTCGCGAAAGCGCCTCACAAGAAATTTCCAAAATTCCAGTTACTCTGCTTTATCGTTGTTAATAAACACAGATCCAAATGTGAGTGGTATCGCAGTGATGGTGATTTCGTTCATTACGACCAAAACGCTAGTTCGACGAGGCCACGGGCCCACTAAGTCTTTCATCCTCCAGGATCGGGAGAATGGTACGAGTCGTGTGTAGGACTAACCCACTTCGTTCAATTCAGTGGGAACGCCCTAGAACAGCGATACCAGGATTTGGGAGAGAATTGAGTCCACTAGCATTCAACGAGAATTGTAAAAGAAAGGCAAAGATTATCACGCATCAGGAGAACTAACAAGAAGCTCGAAGATGTTCGTGGATGAGAGAAGCGAGAAAACGAATTGAATGCTAGGATCGGCTCTTTATATGTTTCACGCTTTAAAAAAGCAGTCGTGCAGCGATTTACTCCCTCAGCTAACTATGACAACGACATTTTTGCAGTATAAAAATGATGACGCCCAATGGTTTACCGCGTAGCTGCACTTGTGAGTTCTCTTAGGGTGCCTAACTGCGATGCACAGCGAACTGTTTGTCATCCGAGAAGAATCTCCCAAGTTGAGAAGAGTCGTTTTTCAATCTAATGGAATTTTAGTCAAGTGCTTGCTTAAACATTTGCTAGTAGTTAAATGAAGAACGGTATGAAAACCCCGTTTCACTCTGTTGCAAAAATCAGAGAACGCACATTAGTGGGGGAAGTGGAATTCCTCTCCAAAATTTAACAAATGATGAAAAATGGTATTTGCTTCGAAAAAATGGCCAAGGGAATTTGAGAAAATTTCATGTTGTAATGAGAATCTTTGTGAGAGCTGGAATCGTCTTAGCAGGGAACGAGCGCATTCAGTTTTGAGTTATGCTTTCATTTCTTGCAACACTAAGTGAGCCGATTTGAACAAGTACAATGAAATTTTTATAAAATAGACCACTCTCGGGCCTACTCCGTTAGCAGAGCCCAGTGCACCGCGAAGTTAAACTCAATTGAATCTTGAGCAAGATTTCTACCTCGACCTTGCTGAATGAGATTCCAGAAGAAGAAGAAATTGTGAAAATCCGTAGAAAGTTGATAGACCATGTAACCGTTGTACTTACTGAGGTGATCTCTTCATCTCTTTTTGCTTTCGTCGCTCTGCGTTGATTTTGACTTGTGTAAAAAGGTTGCATCTAGCAGTTTTTTTCCAAGTTTAAGCTAATATTTGCTTGCAGCTATTGTCTCTATATCTTTTCAGTTTAAACTACGATTCCTCCTTCTGGGCATATTTTTTATCCAGACTTATAGAGCGAGGCGTACGAAATCTGGCCAAGTGAAGGTGACGGGGGTGTGAGTCAGAAGTTTCGTTTGAATAGAATGGTGCTATCAAAGTCTAATTCGCTCACAATCTACCATACTGTTGCTCGAGTTTTCATACAAAGATTAATGGAACTCTGGAATAGTATGACAAAGAGTCAGGGAAGTGAGTATGAAAGAAATATTGCAATACTAGGATTAAGCTTTAATATTTGAAGAAACTACTGCCAGTCCTTATCAATATACAGGCCAGCACCTTGCCTATTACATTGGTAATTTGCAAATCAATTGGAACCAACTAGATGGTTTTGTTGAACAAGAAGGAAACGGACATCAGTACTCGGCCAGGCCAGCTGCTATTTGTCGTCCACATGTGAAAATCAAGTGATTCTTGACGAAGTTGGAAGAACAGTAAACGAAAGACGGCGATAACCATTCTCATTAACGACAGACTGCTTTCTTGATGTGCAAACACAAAGTTGTTAAGAGCAACACCTATTCAATAGAACGCTGGCTTAAGCTTCGGTGATTTTGCCTTCCTCAGAGCCGTTTTGCTGTTCCCGAGCTCTCCAGTTTTTATTGGAGACGAACCGCATATGGCCTTATCGAAACGTAAAAGGAACTGTTAGGTTACACATTGATCTACATAATGAAACATATTGGGTCGAGATGTGAAAGAAGTAGTTATGTAAACTCTGGAGAACCAGGATGCGAACCCAATCCATTAATTGGAATCCTTCATGAAAGTTGTGTACGACAACACCACAGCTAAATCCTTACTATTCTGTAACGGAATTGTCGTCGACTTAAAAGGATAGTTCCAACGAAACGACACCATCTCGCTAAAACTATTTACAGTGACTATTGAGAGGATCGTATGAAGACTGTACTGAAATAACATGAAAGCTAAAGCTGATAGTCTGCGGTTAAATCACAGCTTTGTCTAATGTCTTGCTATTGTAACATCCGGGAATTAATTGGGCTGCAAGAATGATTGACCGAATAGTTCACCTTCACCTTCACCTCGACGAAATATTTTTTAGAAAGATTGAATTGGCAACAAAGCCGTTTCTGATGTCCATTCAAGCTAAATGGACCGAGTGGTCCAGTACATATATAAGAGACGAGCAGCGCATTAAGATAGAAAAAGCAATAGACTGGAAAGGAAAGGGCAGTAGGGTGAACATATCAAGCATGAGGTATATCGTAGAAGTAGCGAGAAGAATAAAGAGCTCTTTTCTTCGTTCCAACCCCAGGCTGTATCGCTCTTTTCCTTCATTTAACGCCTCATGAAATACTAACTAAGGAAGTACTAGTTGGGTATAGTTTTTCATATCGTATTAGAAGCCCTTTCACTTGTAGTACCATCATTGAATTACCCGTGAATACCTAAAAGGTTTTCAAATACTTATTATAATCAACGGTACAAATAAAACAGTAGAGTCTACTTCATTGGAAACTCTAAGCTCTAAATATTCTTTGTAAGTAGGGTTTTTGCGGTCTCGTAATGAGGAGGTAAGTCGTTTTATGTGGAATCTCCTCTAAAATAAAACCTCACCTCCGAAACGCCTTAGTTTACCACTATTTTCAGTGGTAGTAAACAAATTTGTCAGCTGATAAGGTTTTCGCTGGCGTGCTGTCCCTTGGGAGGTCAACGAATAAGCTGTTTTTTGCAAGTCGGCCTCGTCTCAGACGGCTCTGTCAGAACATATTGTGTTTCGGGCTGAGAGGATGTCGTCTTGCGGCTGATTGAGATGTTGGAGACCTTTTAGGAGAACTTAAGAGAAACGTTCTTAAATGATTGCGTAGTATATTAGAGTGCCTTGCAGTTCGCCTATTGTGGCACTGAAATAAATGCCGCATGTTACGGGTTTACCTATGGCGTAGTAACGCTCAGGTGAGATAATTACGTTTGTTTTAGTATGGCCTTCAACGACTCACTAACTTATCGAGCTCCATGCGTGTATTAACCCGTTGTTGCAACTAAGTAGACTTATTGTTCCAATTTGAGTTTTTCGATCTCAGCCTTAGCTGCTTGTCGATGCTTTCCTACAGCCCACGCTTTGTACTCGTAACATAGCCCTGACGGTTCAACCAAGTATGGCTTACCACCTTCCTTTGGATCCCATGAAGAGAAGAATGCAGAGGCACCAAATGGCCGGCTGATGCCCAAAGTGAAGATATGGATATATTCCGCTAAGGGCTATGTTACGAGTACAAAGCGTGGGCTGTAGGAAAGCATCGACAAGCAGCTAAGGCTGAGATCGAAAAACTCAAATTGGAACAATGTGACATGAAGGATTTGGTAAACGAAGCTGCGCGGATCATAATGGCTATCCGTGATGAAAATAAGTAGACTTACTTTTATGCAGTTCTGCGTAGGTGTTTTACTTTAATTTGCAGCCTTGTTTTGCCATTATTACTTTCTTTTTCTCTTTAAAATTTTTTTCCTTTCCACATACGGTGCTTCCCCGAATGGTTTATCGTCGCAGAGTTGCTTGGGTGGCGTTTCTGAATGTCGAACTACGATGTACAAGAGGGAGATCTACAATCGCACTGACCACTCCCAAGCTGAGAATGAGTCCAACATTTCCAAATGGAAAACCAGCTAGAAATGAACCAATGCCAACAATCACTAGCTAAGATGTAGCGATGACGTGGGAACGTTACTCGACGTTTCGTAGGACAAGCATATCTTGTTCAGTCAGACAACAAGCAGTCAAATGAAAATTGTACTAGAGAACGCGTGAGTCGTAAAGACGAGTTATTCCAGTATTCTATAAGAAAATATTCATACTGCCCATCTCGACACTCAGATTCATATCGTAGTCTTGAAACATAGAAGAAGAAGAAAAATAACCGATAAAGTTGAAAACTAACACAAAGCAATTTCACTTGGAGTATCAATGCCGGTTCTTTTTCTTCAAGATGAATGAGAGGATTTAGTAGTCGACAAAAGTATGATAAAGAATGCGCCAATATTCCGATTATATTGTTAGTTAGTGGCTTCCCCTCCATATTTGGCTTTACTAAAAAAGTAACTTGAAAGCAATGCATAAAAATAAAAATAAAAAACTCCGTACTGTTGATCCTTACTGACCCGATCCGTGGAATATTCAAGTAAATTGAATAAAACAGAACCGAGTACCATATATAACATAATAACGTTTTGTAGAGCAAATATTTATTCAAGCATAAGCAAGCGTTTTATTTAATAATCAAAACCCATGAGAAGTGTCCGTTCGTCGCTCTGCGTGGAAAATCTGCATGTCTCATTTGTGCTGCGAGGAAACTACGCTTCATCCTCAGTTCGGTGACTCAATAATCGTTGAATTTTTTATTTGACTTTTGCTTAGAGGTCCGAGATGGAAAATAAAATAAGTAGGAACGTGTGATAGAAAGGATTACCATCCATGAGAGTGGCTGTCGGCGATCATCACCTCTGTGTTTCAGCTGAATGGCGCTAATCTCGGTTCGCTGCGGAGACCGGACGAAGTCCGAACACTCACCATACGCTGTCCTCATTTTTCCACGAAGAGAAGCAGCCCACCGGCAGGATTGTTCCAGGTGTACTAATGACTGAATATGTGTTGTCTTCTTGTTGTAACTCGGGTGTTTACCTGAATATTGTCCTTTTATTCTAGCCTTACATGTTTCGTTAACAGACAGTCCGTGGAGCATCCAAGTAAATTTGTAGTAACCCTAACCGTGAATTGGATAAACGCTTTGATTCGGAATAGAAGCAGTATATTTGTGATTAAATTAGAGCTCTATTCGAAGCTAAAACTTCTTCTTTGAGGGTTTGCGGAACTTGGAGCGCCTCGGGATCGATCGCTGCCATCTGAGCGGCCTTCCGTCAGCTCTGTTCTCGGTTCGCATCTCTTTATCTTTGTCATGCTTTTAAAGTGCTGTAATTCGAGACTATAGGATGAAAGCTGTAAAATTGAAGGCAAATTGAGAAAGAGGAAGCAAAATGAACACTTATTGTAATGCACTCAATGATTAAGAGCATGCCGTGGTTAAATCAAGATTTTTTTTACTAACTCGTTTAAAATTCATACTGTGCTCAAAGCTATGAGATCTCGATACGTTTTATGAAAGAAGTACCTGTTGTTAATTTTTTATTTGCTGCCTATTACAACTTTTTCACGGTAGGGTATTATGTGTGATACAACCACAATGATGCTAAGATATTTGTAAGCTGCAGGTGTCTGCAGTGGGGAACGAAAGCGCTATTACCCTTTCCGGGGGGCAACGCGCTCATCACCACATCATGCAGGTCCTTCGTTTCGCTGTCTGGAATTTTTTTCTCCACTACTTTATGCCTAATCGCGGCCGCAGGCGGTGTTCGCTTTTCCACCTGCGATACAGATGATCCATTTGTATGGATGTTCGAAATTTTGGGCTAACAAATAAAGTCGTCTTTTTCAGGGTCTTCAAAAGCTTTACTCGTTAATAATTAGAAATGCGAAATTGTCGACAATACCGGACGACTTGTTCGCTTATACTCCAAATCTGATGACTTTGGACCTCACTGGTAATGAGCTGCAAATAGAGCCTTATTCTCTGCAGTCACTTCGGTGAGTACAATTCAGCATTGTCAGTAGGACTAAATCCTTACTCGATTGCTTCGAAACGGCGTTCGTAATAGACGTTAAGACGGACGATCGAGAGAGTTTTGACGGAAGGAATCCACACACCTATTTTTATGAAGCATTAACGGCAATAAATGAATCAACGAAACGCGTTAATTGACAAGCACACAAGAGTCAGAAAATGTGCTTCATTAGGAGTGAACCTTTTGTTGGTCCGCTCGATTTTTTGAGCTTTCGAATCTCAACTCCTTAACCTAAAAGTACAATGTAGAAACATATTTGGACCTGCTGCAAACTTCTGACCAGGTTGGTCTTGGGAGTAAAGAGTTTGCAGGACTCTTAAAAATGAATAAGAATAATCGATGAGCGACGATATTTGATATTCCCAAGATCGACTTCCTATTAACCTTGGGATTGATCGACAATTCATTGTTTTCTCCAATGAGTAAACACGATATTGGTATTATGGAATTTATTATTATACAATAGCTGATGTTTTGGCGGCTTCGCCTTCTTCAGAGCCAGAAAAGGTCACATTGACACGCGGTCCACTCAGCCAAACACTTTCATAACCTCAGCCGAGAAGCTGTTTATCATGCGAAGGCAAATTTATGCGTTAATTTTTATCTCATGAGGCTACGAAAGTGTTTGGGTGAGTAGATCGCATGTCAATTCAACCATTCCAGGCTCTAAAGAAGACGAAACCGTCGGAACATCAGATATTGTACGGTAACAAATTCTAAAATACCAACCTCGTGGTTGCTCATTGAAGAAAAACAATGATATATGAAATATTGACGATATTTATGAAAACTAGTCCTGACATGAAGAAGTGGACTTTTACAAGATGTAATAACCTGAAAATTATGGAAATGTTCTTTCCAGAAATCTGATCCATCTGGATTTGAGCAACAACTCGATTGGTTTCCTTACAAACACACTAATTTCTCTAACAAATTTGAAGGTGCTAACATTGGACCACAATAGACTAACAAATGTGGATTTTCGTAGGTGAGTTGACACATGGCTCACGCTGGAGTGCGTGAGAACGGTTTTAGAAGCCCATATCATCACTACAGAAGACGTTGTAAAGTCTTTTCGAGCATCATTGGAAGTTTTTTCAGGTTACCTCAGGAGTTAACTGATCTCTCACTTCGACACAACTTCATAAACCATATTCATTATGTGGCCGAGAGTACTAGGTTGGTCGAAAACCGGTTATGTTGTTACTCCATGTTTACCTAAAGCCTCCATTACCTTTGTGAATGCCTCCTTAGATTTTATAGAGGAATAACGATTTTTAGTAGATGTTTATGGCGAAATCACTGCAACATTAAGTGCTTGATACTTGATGCTTGAACGGCCCGTCCTCACTGGTTATGCGGGTCCCAGCATAATCACTATTTTTCGTAGATTTGATGACTAAGCCATTGTGGTTCCCTAGAATTCCGAGGTCACCCTGGCCAAAGTCTACACCAGGTCTTCACCACCGCTATCAGTCGCAGCCCTTGTGGATCAGAGAGAGATTTCCCACCATGCGACTTTGAAACCAGGGACGGTGGTGGATCCTGGTATTGGTTTACTCTTAGCTAGGCTTCCTGATGGCAACGCAGGATTCCTTCTCAGTTTGACAGACCCTGCTGGTGGGAGGAATCCTGCGCTGTACATGGTAGTCCGACACAAGTGCAACTCCCAGCCATGATGGGATGGTAAACCGTTGGAAGGGCAACGTTAGGTATAAAAATTAACCTATTGAAAGCATATAATGAACAATTGCTGTCGCTATAACAACATAGTTAAGCCATAGGCGCTAGCATCCTGTAACTAAAACGGGGTGAAAGTAGCGTTTCAATCATGACTCTTCAATTTGTCTAGTGTGTTTAGTGTGATTGTGTTTAAACCATAATAACGAGGAGATAGCGGAGTGTTTTGTGTCCATTCTTGCAGAAATCTCCGCCGAATTGATCTTTCCGGTAACCAACTGGGTTTTCTTGCCGGCTATGGTGCGGTGAACGTGCTTCCACCGTCTCTTAAACAAGTCGACCTTTCCAATAATCGAATCGCTTTCGTACACGAAAACGCACTTGCGCACATGAAAACGTTGGCAGTCCTTGATCTGAGGTAAGTTGTCCAAGCCTAAAAGGCAATAGAAAGCGCTGCATATCAAAGGTGTTAGTTAATTTCATTGAAAATATGGAAACTTTCAAAAGGTCGCTTTCGCCCCTGTTATGAATAATGAATATCTTGGACTATTTCGGCGCATGTAGCACAACGGTTAGGGGTGCCATGTGTGCTCGTACACGCATGTAAGTACATGGTCATTGGTTCAATCCTACAACCGCGGCAACAATGTTTACAGTATCCTTCTTAACTCTTATCTTTTGATAGTTAACAAATTGTTTTCGGTCTAGCCTTGGAAGACAGCAACAATGCCTTATTCGTAGGCGGCCGTATATAATCATATGGAGCAGATATGAGTTACATGAGACTGTTTCAGCCATTAGTTGAGTAACCTTTCTCATAACGCTATTTCTGGCACACTCCAGTAAATATCAATCTGAATAGTATTTTTCTACAACGTTGCTGAGATATTTGCAAAACTCTGGACCGCAGGTGTCTATGGTGGGGAACGAACGCGCTATTGTCCTTTCCGGGGAGTAACGCGTTCGCCGCACCACCACACCATGCGGGTCCTTCGTTTCGCCTGTCTCTCAGCTATTTCTATCGATCTTTGCCACAGCAATCACCCGTCAACGGGATTGATCTGGGGCGCCCAAATCGGCATGGAACCCAGTTAAGCTGCGGCTCTAGTTGAAATCACAATGTTATACCTTTTTATTTTTCATATAGAGCAGATATGAGTTCAGAAAACAAAAAATAAAAAGGTATAACATAGTAATTTTCTTTTCGACCAATATATCCTTTCTGTAGATTTTGAAGCTATTTTAGGAATTTCCTACTACTATCGTAGATAGACCTCGGCTTTTGTGGAACAAAGGGAGATTTGTTTGTTTTGGAATACGTTTTTTCTTGTATATTGCGGCACCTGTAATTGGTTTACTACTAAGCAGTTCTGGACGGAAATTCCGAACTCTTATCCACCTTTTTGAGACGTTATATTCGACATAGTTTAACATCTAGTGCGGAAACTCTTCTGTCAAGATGAGTTAGTGAACATCGCTGATGTAAGCAGCAGTACGATTCCGTGTGAACTCTGCGCGTTTGGTTTCCACGTAACATATTTAGTGGAAGACTCATACAAAGCGGCTCTGAGGAAGGCGAAATCCGCCGAAACGTCAGCTTGTATGTAAATAGAGAAATAAGGTAACAACTCGTGTTTGCTGAACAGAAGTAGAAAGAATTAAGCAACGATAGTTTCAGAAAATGTTACACGAAAAAAAGATCTCTATTGTCAAACGAAATCTGTAATTTCATCTGATCATCTGTTATTGTAACCTTCGTGTTTTCTAAACCGAAAGTTGATTAGATATTATAAGGACTCGGATGCCTCGAGAAACTGGAAAATTCGAGTTTTGAGATTTGTTGAAATAAGTAGACTTTCTTGCCAACTTTTTCTTCTATTCAAAGCCACCTTAAAGTTATGGAGTATTCTCGGCGGTTGTTTAGACCTCATATATCCCTCAGGACGATTTCGGTTAGAGATTGAGCTTATGATTACACATAGGTCTTGTTCAGAGGTAACCGACTTAAGGAGTTGAAAGAGAGCGCGACCACTGGTCCAGAAACACGACTACGCCTGTTTCTCGAGCAAAATCCGTTACGGTGCCATTGCGAACTGCGCTGGGTGCTTCACGCAACCAAAAAGGTTAGTATTTCCTTTCTCCGAATAAGGCTAATAGTAATGAAGACCTTTCTAATAACTCCAGAAATGAGAAGGTGGTTTTTGTTTTTGATATTTCTATAGAAGCTGAGAATGTTGCATACTTTCTTACTTCCAAAGTTCTTCTGCATTTCGTGCTCAAATTTGCCTCTCTTATTTACGGTATAAAGATATCATCAAAATAACAAGCACTTCATATTAGAATTCATCAGGCACATCCAAAGTTAAACAAGCCTAACCCGCGACACCCGTGAGTGGGAATTAGGTCGTGGTAGAAAATACGATGAAGAAATCTTGTCGATCTTTCTTAGCGTTCACCGTCACAGTAATAAAGTAACAGGTTTTGGCTGCGAAGTTGCAGAGATGAAGAGTTCGTTAGGAAATACTTATTGGTATGCTATTGCACTAAATACATGCCCGCAGTAATGTGCGTGTTATTTTGGAACATTATGGTGTTGTCGACTAATCCAGAACCTATTCTCAACCTGATAATAGACGAAGCTTGGAAGAGTTCGTTCGTATCGTTCGTTCGTTCGCAGCAGAAATATGGATGATGAGCGATTTAAGGGTGAACAGTGGAACTACCAGGCGTCGTCAAAGCACACATTCCCAAGCGAAAAATTCTACCCTCACCAATCCAGTGTTATTTTACAGTTCGCTCAGTAATTCACTTCAAAATAACTCATATTATAGTTGTCGTCTTCCTTAAGTAGTGTAGTTGTATATGCACTTCACTTTTCACATAAAGTTCTAAAAAGCTCTCGGCTTGGATCAATCCCTGAGGGATGCGCCATGCATTCGACTTCACTAAGTATCGTTGAAGGTGACTGAATGCATATCTGGCCTTTACAATGACTCGATGTGGCCTTCCGATATATCGAGCCAGTCCTGCTATTCTCCTTAACAAGTCTGGTACCAGTCTGCCGACCCTGGAGGAATGGAAAGCTTGGTGGGCTATGGGCGCGGTGATCGATTCCTCGTGTGTCGCTGCGGCGCCTCCAACCACTGCGCCACACGCGCCCTTACTTTCCACATAGTAGTTTAAATATATATGTATATATTTATCTATTTAGTTTTTATGCAATAGTTTATTTTGCCTACCATGGAACATACGACATTTACCCACTTATTTCAGACATCTCCAGTCGTCCTGGACCTGAAAGTACTCACCTGTTTCATGGTATTAAACGATGATCAGAAGTTAAACCTAACCGTCGCCGATCAACATAATCTACTTATCTGCGAGTATGATACCGTAAGGATACCTGTTTTCCTCGTTAGGTGGAAAATGAAAGACATGAGAAGCGCAGTGCTTAGAGATGCCATGTGATGCACATCGTCGATGCTTTAGGCACGCCCTGGGGTGGCCAAGTCTCCCTTCCACCCAAAATTTGAAAATTGGCAATGAACTAGTCTGGGAAAAGTTACCTTTGGTCCAGGACTTTTCTACCTAAAAGGCCTAAAACGCTCTTTGAGCTGTTCAATGATTCCACTGAGAATTAGCTCGAGCAGCATTAAAGGCTATTCATGAAGGAAACAAAGTCCTCATGTGGCAGCCAGAGCAGCGCACAAGTCCGATGACCTTTGTGAATCCTCACAATGTATGAAGATGGGTTATACAAATAAAAAAGTGCGGACAGTGAAAGACGTTGCCAATTAATTTGTTCACTTGAAGTCATGTGGTATTCACTAAACCTTAATCACTTCTTCTTAACCATTTGAAATTCATATTTTTAATGATGCTGAGATATTTGCAAAACTCTGGACCGCAGGTGTCTGCGGTGGGAAACGAACGCGTTATTGTCCTTTCCGGGGAGTGAGGCGTTCACCACCACACCATGCAGGTCCTTCGTTTCGCCTTTCTCTCAGCTAGTTCTATCGATCACTGCCATCAGCAATCACCTGTCAGCGGGATTGATCTGGGGAGAACAAATCGGCAATGAACCCAGTTAAGCTGAGGCTACAGTTGTAATCACAATTTTAACTTATTATCTACTGCCTACTCTTTTTAACGGCAGGATATATTTTGCGAAATATAAATTTAATGATACTGAGGTATTTGCAAAACTCCGGGCCGCAGGTGTCTGCGGTGGGGAACGAACGCGCTATTGTCCTTTCCTGGGAGTAACGCGTTCACCACCACACCATGCGGGTCCTTCGTTTCGTTCTATCTAAATTCATAAATAAACCTAATGAAGTCTAGGAGTGGAATACCCACTTGTATCTGCACTACAGGAGGATTTACCTACATGAAATTTTTGATATTGCCTTATTTAACGGATCACGTAGTTTGAAATGGTTTTTGAACGACAACTTAGCATTCTTTTCTCAAAAGCACATTATTGCAGCTCTGTCCCAACTCCTGTACTTGTTGTAAGGAGCTAACGTGTTCCTGTAGAAGTTCATGTCCCATACAATGTCACTGTTACCATTCGGCAAATATGGAGCGCCCAGTAAGTTTGGTACTCACTTAGATCTCTGAAATATCTACTAACCTTTCCCGAACTTGTCATGGAGTCCATGGGATCTTATATTGCAATCATTATAATAGTTATAACATAACAGCTACTTCACTGAATATCGTTGGAACTGTTGCCACAAGTATACTTCCATTAGGACCTGCAGCAGATCACATAGACTCTCCTTCATAGTTCATTAAGCACGTGAACGACGCTGGGGAATGTGGTGGAATTAGCTGGGGAATCCAACCTTTAAGAGAGCAAGAAATAGTTGTGAGAAGTTAAGAAGAATGGAAATAAATGTAGGTTTGGAAAATAAGAAGGAAGAGTATTTTGTGAGTGTATGGACATTCCTTCGTGTCTGTTATAACGCAGTGGGTAAGGGCACCCTGCTATTCACAAGGGTTCGATCCCGCGCCCCACCCTCATCAAGTCTTTCATTCATCCGGGGTCGGTACATTGGTGCCAGACTTATCCATGAGGATAGCAGCACTAACTCGAGAAATCGGTAGTTAACCGCGAATATGGGACAGTATGGGACAGATATGCATTGACTCATACCTAAGGATGCTTATTAGAGTGGAATGCATGGCGCCTACCACAGCGATTGATCATCGCCGAGAGCTTTATCCTTTTTCTTTCATTGCATTGCTTTATGCGATCCCAAGTTGTGAATAAAGAAGATACAAGACCATCATGTATCTACATGAAAGAAATATAGTCGTATCAGTGTTCTTCTTCTCTTGTATGCTCCTTATTCATGTTCTGTCGAGATTCCAAAAATTTACCGTGGCAGTTATGACGTAGTAGAAGAAAACGAGACAGGTTCAATTATTTAAAGTCAATGGTATCATGTTCGCAGTCAGAATCTAACAAGAATTTATTGGTAATCATTTAAGAACGCCCAAAACGTTCTTGTATGCAAGAATCTGCCAGCGGAGCAACTGGACAGACTTCCGGAAACGGCAACTGAACTTCATATAGACGCTGCCGATGGGAAGCAATGGAACGTGGAAAAGCTACAGGTTTTCCTCACTCTTACTGTTTCACTTTCACATTCTTATATTCTGCATCATTGTTATTTCTATTATTGTTTTACTCATAGCTACACAAATTTTGACAATGGACTTGCTACGCCTATAGGTTTCTCAATGAAGATCTTCTCTTTGTAAATAAATTGCAGAAAACATACCCATAAAGATGTGTCTGAATGTGAAGTCATAAGGTTTGGTAAGTGAATAACCAGGACTGAAAATAATTCCATCCGGGCTTGTGGCCGTATTTCCAAGCAAGAGTTTCTTCGTGAATAGTTCCCTCGTAAATGACTAATGGAACTTTTGTAGGATAAAATCTCTAGCAGTATCGATGCTCCAACTCTATCGAAATTTATCGCGTTGACTTTTATTCGCTCGGTTTGATTTTTAGGCTCTTCCCAACCTCAAAAAACTACACATTTCGAATACTCCAATCACTGACGACGAAGTAGTACGTTTGCGTGTTATTGAAATTCCTATGCACTGTTTTTGTCGCATTCCTCTCGAAAATGCTCTTTAACATGAATCGATCTCGAAGTTTCTTGGTCTCTTTTAGAATTCATTGTCGTTCCTGCCCTCATTAATGGAGCTCGAACTGAAGTCCACCACGCTCACCAAGGTGCCCTCTCAACTCGCTCATTTGTCGCGACTAAAACTCGTCGGCAATCCTTTGTCCCAAATCACTGCTGACGATATTCGCGTAAGACCGTTTACTTTACATAAACAGAAACCATAAATGTTATTAAGAAGTAAATATTTAAGCAGAGTGATGCAGCACTGATCAGTAGAAAACTAGCTGAGAGATAGGTGAAACGAAGGACCTGCATGGTGTGGTGATGAACGCGTTAGTCCCGGAATGCATGATAGCGAGTTCGTTCCCCACCACAGGCACCTGCGGTCGGAATTTTGCAAATATCTCAGCGTCATTGTTGTTGTATCACATATAAACAACTCATTTAGAAATGGAACTTCCGAGTTCTTAACGTTGTTGCCGCTGACCGTCTGGTATCGATTTATTTTCCCATTAACACTGTAGAGAAACACAAAACACAGTAGCTTACACAACGGTAGAAAGTGAAAGACGTCGAAATCACATCAAAAGAGGGTGGTTGGATCGCTGTCCTTAGAACAGAAACCTAAAGCAATTAGGGTTGCTTTTTCAATATGAAAGATAATTTCTTCTAATTAGCACCACTATAACAGTAAGAGAATCAGGAGCGAAAGGTTAGGACACATTTTTCAGTTCTTATTAGTTTTCTCAATTGAACGCTTTTGGGGGAAAAGTTCGGTGACTGGAACAGCAAGGGTTTTCGTTACAAATGAAAGGAATCCTGCTCTACCGAAATTACAGAATGCCTTGAAATCTATTTGACACTGTACCAGCTCCTTCGGGCTTTATATTTTTCTTCTCACTACTTTGCTGCCACTTTGCCGTCAGGGTGTTCGGAATAACAAGTGGCAAAAGCTATTGGAATCAAAACTCCACTCTCTAGCATCGTACCTTGGGAATTTCAGTAGTATAAAATACTTTCGGTCAAAACTACTTGTTTTTTTGTGGAATTTGTGCATTACAAATGTTTGCTAAGCTTTTTGTTTTACAAATAATTAAGATTTTCGACACTGTGAAAAGACTATCACTTGGTGGCAATGAAACTCGATTCACTTGTGACTGCAAAACACCTAGTGCACTCCAGCTATGGTTACGAGAGAAGAGAAATCGGGACAAGGTGGTTTATCTGTTTTTACGTATTAAGACACGAAAAAAACGCTTTTACGCTATGCAAGTGGTCAAAGCAGTCTGCTGATGTTCATCCATTGAAAACCGCGTGCCCTAGCAGTTTTGAGGTAATAGCTTCAAAAATCTCCTTGCTTCCGGTTTTCGGCGTTCGCTCTAGGAATTGGAGGGATTCGAAGGTTCGAAAAGGTGAGCACGGAGCAGGCTGTTTTCTGTCCTTCTTACTACGTCCGTGATAAGCTGCATGTTTCCCAGGACCGACTTTCCAGTAACCTCGGCATAGCATTGTTCTATCAATCTAACCGATTAAAAATTGAAAAGACAGACTTTCTATAAACCTCGACATAAATAGTTATGTTTTTATGAGCTAATTTTGTTGAGCTGATGCGAGGTTGCCATAAGTTGTTGTTGTTGTTGTCGACAAAAACACAACAGCATAAACGTCAACGACAGCGACAACTTATACCAATCTCACATCAGTTCAACAAGACCAGTTCATAAGAACATATAAATAAACATAGCCTGTTGTTTTTCCTACTCAGTTCTTGAACTAAGACATTCATTACGTTCATATTTCTGCCCAGATAGATATAGCTCATGGTTTCGGTAGTTGCTGTTCTGGAGAGCCTGAATAGGTCGTAAGAAACGAATCCTTTCATCGTAAGCATCGTTTGTGGAGATTCAGTTGAACAGCGATTTCTCCATATGCACTGTAGAAATCGGCCAGCTATTGTTCTGACTAGCTCAATGCCACCTATTATAGGAATAACGTCATTAGCAAAGTGAAAACAGTGTAATCTCCGGCCATCACCTTCCGCTTCTTTGTTATTCCACTGGCACGATATTCTCGAGATTGACGTTAAATAGCGAGGGAATAGCTACTATTTTTTGCATTTTTGTGATCCAATATCACATGTTATGTGGCTCCTAGCACTATTTGCTGCTCTGCATTCGTCATCCATGACTACAGAATCAGAGGAGAAACATACAGATATTACTTTGATTAAGTGGTCCTCAGAGTGGATATTATGTCATATTATATGACAAATAAGAAGCTCGACATAAACAAGAGTGAGCCTAAGCCAGGACAGAACCACTCAAAAGTGACTCACATTAAGCGTTAGCGTTCGTCGTGTCCTTAAATCGAACGCATCGGCCCTGGAGCGCGACAAAGAGGAATAGAGATTTCACTGGTGCCTCCTTGAGTTTTTTAGAGATTCAGTGATTAGAGAAGCTCCAGATGATAAAACTGGTCCGTAATGGATGTGACAGTGGTAATACATTTGATAACTGAAAGAATGCGTCGTTGCTCATGAAATGCTCTTTAGGTAGAGGACGTAAACTCGATTATGTGTCATTTTCATCCGTTAGGCCTAATTCCAGTGATTTCAACGTTGCCAGAAAATGGTACGGCCAGTTAGTTGGTTATTAAAGCGGTCTTCATTTCTTAACGTCCTGTCTTTTTCTAACAAGTAATAATAAAATAATCCGTTGCGGTTCATATTGTATGAAACTAAGTCAAAAATATTTGAAGAACAAAGTTATTAGTTAAGGGTCTGTTTGTCAACAAGAAATTGTGGAGGCCACGAAATGGGCGGAATCTCTGCGAAACGTCGAGCAGAAGAATCAGGTAGATCTTATGCCGAAGTGTATTCTACACATCAGTATCATCATTGAAGACCGTGCATCGATTTCTAGGTTTCCGAAATCATTGTATTCTTTAGTAGCTTATAAGTCCGTCAATCTTAGTGGTTGTCTATTTTTCTACGATAGGAAAACCCTAATCGATGAAAATGCAAGTCATGTCCCATCTGTTGTTGTACCAGAAACTTGCGTTACAAATTCATTGAGTCTCTTTTTGTCAAGATAATTTCTCAATGAGCCTTCTACTTGAAGCTTTTTGTTGCTTTTTAAATAATATTCCTATTGAATAAAAAAGGTGTCCGACACAAATTTATTTCTTTGACCGATATAATGACTTGCGTGAAACTATCGATGCATTAAGTCATCATGCTTGAAGGACCGAATCAACAACTACCATACGTATTACAGGAGACCTCTGATCACACCGCTATATGTGAGATGTTCTTTGTTCCAACAATTGACATGCCTCCTTTTCCTGTTCTCCTAAGCAAGAATTTTTATTATGTCGTCTGGTGGTAAGGAAGTCGCCAACTGTTGGGCGTCAGTATCGTCATATTCAACGATTGCCATTCTGCCATACGATATGCCATACGAATTACGATTGCCATTGCCATCGATGCCATTCTTTATTCCTTGTTCTTTTCCATAATAATGATTTTATTTGCTGTTCGAAGAGCACTTGAGATTCTGAGTTTTGCCACTATCTCAGCATCCTTGTGGTTGTATTTCACAAAACATCCTGTCAGAAGTGGACGACGGACAGCCATGTGAGCAAGCAGGGTTTTGAAAACGATTCAATATGATGGACCACATCCATACCGTAAGAAGGCTCAATGAACTGTCGCAAGAGTACATGAAACACCTCTGTCTCAATTTCACAGATTTAAGAGAAGCTTTTGATTCAGTTGAGATAGAAGCAATCATGGAAGCTCTGGACAGTGAGTGCGCTCCTACTCAGTATGTAAAGATGTCGATTAAATCATGTAAAAACGATACTCATGAGGGAAGGATTGGTTTTGTACGTCTACGTCCCGTTTACGCCAACGGGCAGAACGAATATCTCCGTATGCTGCAGCAAAATCTATATAGGTCAGAAAACCAACATGATGAGCGGCTTAGTTCCGGAGTTGAGCAGGAGGAAGTGAGTGGCTTGGGTGCTTCCAATAACGTCGGGGATGTGATGAGAGAACAGTGAACACCCAGCTCCATGCCCACCCCTTCGATTTCACGATTCTTCTTGTCTTATCTTATGTGTTAGAAAAGTGGTCGATACGTAAGGAGGACAAAGGATCAATCAGTGTTATAGAATGCATAGTCGAAATAACGATGCTAGGAATATGTAATATCACCCACGGGCTTCGAAGCTCCGATCTACGTCAATGATCAGAAATTAAAGGAGCCGTTCTACGCGCCAAATTGTCAATGAGAAGGTAGGCAGGGCGTCTAAACGACAGTCGGTAGACTAGAGCGGTATCAACTGGATTACTCGTGATGTCAAAGGCAACCATCGACCAGATGGTCAGAGTTTTTCACAAAAAAATTCTAGAGGAAACGAATGATGCTCAACGAGTCCCTAGAGCGATCAGAACCCGCTGGGCTACACTTGCATGCGACAGGGAGAGATGGAGGATTTACTGGCGCCCGCTCGAGTCACTCAACGATCAATGGGGAGACATATGACAGTTGACTCTGCCATGAAAGAGGAATAGACAGTAAATAAAGTTTAAGCATTGTGGCTTCGACAGCAACCTGAGCTTATCTGGGTTCAGTGCCGATTTGTGCTCTCCAGATCATTTCCATCGACTGGTGGTTGCTGATAGCACCGCTAGAATAAAAAACTGGTTGGAAGAAAGGCAAAGCAAGCGCCTCGATTGGTGTGCAGGGTAGAATGTGAGTTCTCGGAAAGGATAATCGTAGGTTCGAAGCGCACCTAAGGTTAATCTTGCTCTTTTCTTCATAGCAATATTTCTAAGCAGTAGCGTAGTTTTGTTTCAATCTTTGAATATTCTTCCTCTCTGTCAGGTTGTCGCCATCCTAGGTTACTAAACCGTTAGGCAACCCGCGAACACGTGGCGATATTTTACAAAATCGGCCTTCGAGATATAATCATAGCATACGTTATTGATTTTCTACAAACTTATGATTATTCGAAAGTAGTGTTAGTGGCACATGATTCTAATCAGAGTACATGTCGTATTTTAGAAAGAGATAAGTGTGCAACATCGGCAGCCATTAACCGCACTAGACACCAGTCCAACAGGGACAGTGGTGACGACCACTGACGACCGACCGAAGTTGGCGTTGAAACCATCGACATCATTTACAAAGTCTCACTGGTCAAGAACTGATCGACGACTTGAGCTGCACAGGTCCACCGCACAGCAAACCCTCGCTACTACCGACTCGCCATTTCGGTAAGCATTTGAATTGGCACAGTTGTTGAGAATAGAGCACTTATCATTAAGACCGCAACCAATATCAGCGTAGTCACTTCCATTCGTATCAATACTTGTTCATATTGGTCAATTTGACCAAAATCGTAACCGAACGGTGCAATATATCACATGCTCGGTTATTTGAACCATATGTTTTTAAGAATCGTGAGATTCTCAGCAAAATTTAACTGGAACTGTAACAAGGTTCCCTCAACGAACTCTCAGATGTCCTTGCCTGCGTTCCCAGGTTCATCAATCTAGGCAATTGCCTGCCTTTGTGAAATAGTTGTACCGTCGTATGACTAGGTTTCATCCAGAACGGTAAATTTACCCGTTTATTTAACTACACTTTTCAAATGCCTGACACCTTCTGAACTGATACGATCAATCTAATTGATCTGAGTGCTTTAGATTGCATTACGGCAGTAGGTTATTCAAATTCCATGGCTATGAATTACCGCGGCGGATGTGCATAATTTTTTCATTTCTGAAAAAAGGGATGCAAAGTTAAGCCGCTGCTTTAAGGGCTGGAAAAGCATGATTTTTTTAGAGACAAAAAAACTATTTGAGGAAGAACGAAACTATTGATAGAATCCACGGATCACCCTCATGGAGAGATCCCATGCTGGGTAGTCGCGACGCAACGCCGTGTGTCCCCAGGTAGAAGGTACGAAGTATATAGCATACAAAAGCGACCTTTGATTCCCTCAGGCGCAGGTGAATCTAGGGGATTGACTTCCTGTTTCTGCTGCGCCTATTTACCACTTACCCTCCGTATTTGCGAGAACGTATTCATGCATGAGTGTATGTTGTTGTTCTTGTTCATGCGGATTGTATTCTACGAGCTATTCGACCAAAACTCTGCAATCAAGTACTTAAGAACTGTATGGGAGGTGGTTAACACTCGCCTCCAACAAATAAGCTTCCCGTCCACTCTGCGAGAGACCTGCAAGCTACTCGAGCATATACCCAGCCCCCACGTTGAGAGCTAGGTAAGCTATACGTAGGTATGAAAAAGTTAAACACAGTGAAGGAAACGGGCCTTATTTTTCTGACACCGAAAAAGCTCCCGATGCAGCAGCGCTGAGTAGGTTGAGTACGGATAGGCTACTAAAATCTCAGGACCATTCCAGATTGCTTGACTAGAGAGGGACAAAGGCGAGGATTTGTAACTACAGTGCACTCACGCTTGCATCTGAGTCCTCGATAGAAGACTTGATCATGCAAGCGAGAAAGATAAGATGCGACGTCATCATCGGTCTGGTCGAGACGAGAAGACGCCAGCAATTCAACGCCACCTGTGACACCGGAGAGGAACTAATCCTCGGATCATGCAACATTAGAGGATCCGGCGATGTCGGCGTTCTCGTCAACACGAGTTTGGCATGAACATCGATTTATTCGAACAACTGACAATCCGAATCTGATGTTTAGTGTTCCTCGTAAACACACTGGTTTGGCTCATCACAAACTACCTCTGAATGCAAGGTCTCAGTGAAAGACCAGCATGAACCTGCTTTTCCGCTTTCAAGAAAAGGGTAACCTCCACAATATCGTCAACAACTGCGCAATCTGCTTGATTTCTGTCGTTTACAAACTTTCCACTCGAGTCATCCTAAGCAGGATTTACAGAACATTGGACGAAGGACAGCTATTTGAGTAAGCAGAATTTCGACAAGGATTCAGTGCGATAGACCGCAATTGCGCCATAACGAGACTTAAGGAAGTATCGAGAGAATTCAAGAAACCGCATTGTCTCACTTTCATCGTTTTGAAGCAGACTTTTGACTTAATTGAGATGGAATCAATCATGGAAGCTCTTGATAGGCAGGGAGTCCCTACTCAGTACATAAAGATTCTTCGTGAGCTGCACAAAAATTTCACAATCAAGATATCACCATTCTTCAACGATATTAACATTGACGTCAAAAGAGGAGTTAGATAAGGCGATACCATCTCGCCAAAATTATTTACCGCCACACTCTAGAACGTCATGCGAACACTGGAATGGGGTAATATGAGAGTGAAAATCGATGGTCGGCAATTACACCATCTTCGCTTTGCTAGTGACATCGTCCTTATAACACCAAACATTAGCCAAGC